CATAGAATGACGTAACTGCGTTTTGTAGAAGTTCAGATACCGTTCATATATTATTCCGACCGAGTTCGTGTTAATTGGGCTCCAAATATTCAAGGGGTGCCCGATTGATATTTGCTTTAAATCGATTTACATAATTTTGTCCCATTGTAACAAACGAATGGCATGTTTACGGATTGATCTAAGTCGGTTCACATTTAATTAATGGAACTTCTGTTTAATATATCCATACTGGTTTTAATAGTAAATTTATTATCTTTATTACAAACAACATTTTACATATTAACTCATAAATAATTTTGTTCAGAATGATAATTTATTAAAATCGATTAAATAATATTGATGACAAACAGCAGATTTTTTTGTGCTCACACTTTAGTGAATAACTCCGGTAGGCTATCACCTTTAATAGCCACCTATGTATGTATTTATACATATGTATCAAATATTAAAAAATAATTAATGTTGTTGATATTAATACTTTATATTAATTATTACAGTAAGTGTTTCGATTACGAAAACAATTAAAAAAATCAATTACGGCATACGGGATGACATATTATCACACAATATATTTCCTTTGATTTATACAGCATAAGAAGCACATTGAAAGTAAAGGGGTCGAAACATGTTAGGGGTCGAAACATGTTAGTTATATTTAGAACCTACATTACGACAGTGTAATCACGATTAAGGTACATTATGTATACTACTTGCCGTATTAAAGTCAAGGAGAATTTGTTGTCATTATTTTTAATACCTTCCACCATTTTATGGAGGGTATATTAATTTTGTTTTTCCGTTTGTAATTCATGGAAATAATCTATAAATATATATCTATATATATATATATATATTCTTGATCAGCGTAAACTTCTATGACCACTAGCACCTGTCAGTCTGTCTGTTGTAATCACTCTAGCCTCTAAACGAATTGAGATAGATCGTCAAAATTTAACATAGAGTTGTCTTTTATCTGCAGACAGGTCGATAATGGGCTTTGGACATAAGTAACATATAACGATACGATTCATATTTAGTAACAAATCTTGCTACCCAAAATTATTCAACAGTGTTTATACCCTTCATCACACTGTGGTACAGGGTATTATGTCTTTGCGCATATGTTTGTAACAGGCAAAAGGAATCGAGATAGACACATGGTTCCTTTTGAGAATATGCATAGAATCACTTTCTAAGTCGATTTACGCATGTCCGTGTGTCCGTATGTCCGTCGGTCCGTCTGTTCATGTTAAATTGTAAACAAAGTACAGGTCGCATTTATTATTCGAATTGGATGAAATTTGGCACAGCTCATTCATTTGGCCCAAGGACGAACCCTATTGAAATTGGGAAAAATCGGTTCAGATTTAGATATAGCTCTCATATATATTTTCGTCCGACTTAAGGCAAATGGTGCACCAAAGTCCCTATATATCTTTCGATTTGCACGAAATTTGGCAGGGAGTACTGAATTACGTCCAAGTTTGCTAAGTTTCGAGAAAATCCGGTCAGATTTTGATATAGCTCCCATATACAGTTTCGTACGATTAAAGGTAAATGGTGTACCAAAGTTATTTAATATAATTCGATTTGCATGAAATTTGACATATCGTACTGAATTGAGCCTAGAGTGATGTCTGCCGAGTTTCGAGAAAATCGGTCCAGATTTAGATATAGCTTCCATATATAGTTTCGTCCGATTTAAGGTAAATGGTGCACTTAAGACCCTATATATCTGTCGATTTGCACGAAATTTGGTACAGCGTACTGAATAAAGTCTAGAGTGATGTCTGCAAAGTTTCGAGAAAATCGGTCTAGATTTAGATATAGGTCTCATATATAGTTTCGTCCGATTTAATGTAAATGGTGCACCAAAGTCCACATATATCTTTCAATTTGCATGAAATTTGGCATAACGTACTGAATTGACCCTACAATGATGTCTGCCAAGTTTCGTGAAAATCGGTTGAGATTTAGATATAGCTCCCTTATATTATAGATTGATTTTAAGTAACTAACGCACCAAGGAACCAATATATGGCTGATAGAAACAAAACGTATTGAAATTAGTATAACCTAACCTGTGACGAGTTTCGTTGAAATCGGTTCATATTTGGATATAACTTCCATATATATTTTCGCCCGATTTTAAGTAAATTAGACATCAAACTCCTCATGTTAGTCAGATTGACATCAGATTTTGCCCAACGTACAAAATTGAGCATAGAATTACGTAGTTGCGTATTCTAGAAGTACAGACATATCCCAACGGATGACCTATTGATATTTGTTTGAAGTCGATTGATATCTAAGTCGATTCATATTTAGATAAATATCACATATTTTATGTCATCTTATTTCATGTTAATAGACCTGTTTAATATACCCATAGTGGTGATGGGTATCATATAGTCGGCCCCGTCCGACTTTACTACTTTCCTTACTGGTTTTCTATTGAATTCGCTGAAATTTGGAACATTGGATTCTTATTGGATACCAAATCTTTTCACATAGAATTATCCATATCAGTTAATTTGTATACCCTTCACCACACTGTGGTACAGGGTATTTTTTCCTTTTGAGAATATGCATAGAATCACTTTCTAAGTCGATTTACGCATGTCCGTGTGTCCGTATGTCCGTCGGTCCGTCTGTTCATGTTAAATTGTAAACAAAGTACAGGTCGCATTTATTATTCGAATTGGATGAAATTTGGCACAGCTCATTCATTTGGCCCAAGGACGAACCCTATTGAAATTGGGAAAAATCGGTTCAGATTTAGATATAGCTCTCATATATATTTTCGTCCGACTTAAGGCAAATGGTGCACCAAAGTCCCTATATATCTTTCGATTTGCACGAAATTTGGCAGGGAGTACTGAATTACGTCCAAGTTTGCTAAGTTTCGAGAAAATCCGGTCAGATTTTGATATAGCTCCCATATACAGTTTCGTACGATTAAAGGTAAATGGTGTACCAAAGTTATTTAATATAATTCGATTTGCATGAAATTTGACATATCGTACTGAATTGAGCCTAGAGTGATGTCTGCCGAGTTTCGAGAAAATCGGTCCAGATTTAGATATAGCTTCCATATATAGTTTCGTCCGATTTAAGGTAAATGGTGCACTTAAGACCCTATATATCTGTCGATTTGCACGAAATTTGGTACAGCGTACTGAATAAAGTCTAGAGTGATGTCTGCAAAGTTTCGAGAAAATCGGTCCAGATTTAGATATAGGTCTCATATATAGTTTCGTCCGATTTAATGTAAATGGTGCACCAAAGTCCACATATATCTTTCAATTTGCATGAAATTTGGCATAACGTACTGAATTGACCCTACAATGATGTCTGCCAAGTTTCGTGAAAATCGGTTGAGATTTAGATATAGCTCCCTTATATTATAGATTGATTTTAAGTAACTAACGCACCAAGGAACCAATATATGGCTGATAGAAACAAAACGTATTGAAATTAGTATAACCTAACCTGTGACGAGTTTCGTTGAAATCGGTTCATATTTGGATATAACTTCCATATATATTTTCGCCCGATTTTAAGTAAATTAGACATCAAACTCCTTATGTTAGTCAGATTGACATCAGATTTTGCCCAACGTACAAAATTGAGCATAGAATTACGTAGTTGCGTATTCTAGAAGTACAGACATATCCCAACGGATGACCTATTGATATTTGTTTGAAGTCGATTGATATCTAAGTCGATTCATATTTAGATAAATATCACATATTTTATGTCATCTTATTTCATGTTAATAGACCTGTTTAATATACCCATAGTGGTGATGGGTATCATATAGTCGGCCCCGTCCGACTTTACTACTTTCCTTACTGGTTTTCTATTGAATTCGCTGAAATTTGGAACATTGGATTCTTATTGGATACCAAATCTTTTCACATAGAATTATCCATATCAGTTAATTTGTATACCCTTCACCACACTGTGGTACAGGGTATTTTTTCTTGGTCATATGTTTGTAACAGAAACGAGCAAAAAGAAACGAGATAGACACAGAATATGGATAGAATGTCCATGTTATATTTTAAACAAAGTACACGTCGAATTTTTGATTCGAACTGGATAAAATTTGATATCATTGGTGCACCAAACTCCTAATGTTTGTCCGATTAACACGAAATTTTGACCAACGTATCAAATTGAGACTTTAATGGCGTTATTGCATTTTGTTGAAATTGGTACAGATGCAGCCATAGCTTCCATATGTATTTCGAAAGGGTGTCTGATTGAAATTAAATTTTTAACAGTGCGGCGTACCGAATAGCATGTATAAATTTTGCTATAAATTGCTTTCCATAAATCTGTCATGGTACCCAGACGACTCTAAAGCTGCCCGAATGAAATTAAATGTATCAGGGTGGCATATAGTTGGCCCAGTCCGACTTTACTACTTTCCTTACTGGTTTTAGATATACACTTTTGATTTAGAAAAAGCAATATACAGTACTTTTTAAAGTGAATAACATTTGAAATATCTTGGTTGACGTTACTGTACAGTACCCAATCATAACATACAACCCTGTAGCGAATACACAAACACCGGTTAAGAACAGCTGTTTGGCAATTCTTAACAGCTGTTTTTCTTTACATCCCTTATATCAACCTGATTATTATACATTTGTTTTGATTTTTTTGACACCCCACCGGTATCACTACAAAGGATTTGATGTTTCCCAAAACAAATAAAAGTTTATTGAATGACAAAATTTTATATTTTTATAAGGATGTGAAATCTACAGGAAATTTGGAAACAATTGAGAAACATTTTGAAGAAAATGGAGCATACAACGTTAGAGAAATTATTAAAAGTGTCTTTCTTGGATATGATGAACCTCATAATATTTTGGAAGGTAATCAATACATAAGCCACTTTTGTCTATGTATTTTAATAAAATTATCGTACCTTTGTAGCTATGGAATCATTTAAATATGAAGATTACAGAAATTGTTTTGATGCTATGTTAGCCATTTTCCAAAATACTCGAATCCCGAATGCGACACATTCATCTTACAAACTGGATTGGATGGGCCTCAACAGCAAAAAATGCCTTGAGTTATTAAAGACTGAAGGCATAGAAGGCGGCAAAGTAGTAGAAAATACACTTTTACTTACATCGTTATTGGAAAATGCTCTAGCCAATGTATATTACACGGAAACTAATGGCAGACAACCACCTCACTTGCTAAGGGATCTTATTTGTACCCAGGAGATAAGGAAGGTTCTTGGTGAAGATATGGTAAATATATTTTCGACCATAGTATCTTGTTTTGATTAAAATTCAATCACATTTTAGTTGTACATCTAATTCAATTGTTATGAAATTCAGATTTGATTTATTTATAACCCACAAAAGTATGTTGTTAGTTGGTCTGTTCCCGTAAAGCAAGAATCTACTCGATTTTACTATTTTCTTCGATATCATAAAAGAAAATTCGTTATCGTAGTAAAAAGTAGTAGATTCTTGCAGTACGGGAACAGACCAAGTATTATAAATATCTGTGGACTCATGAATTTGTATCATCTCAAAATATTAGTATTGGAACCAGCATAAGGTATACCGGAAGTTCATACATAGACGAGCTGGAACAATCTAGCAATATGTGTTCGCTGGCCCTTTATAAAATTAAATTCAGGCCCCTGTCGCGGATCGTTTGAAATGTTTAGTCCTAAGGGTTCTGATTAAATCGATATTATTATATTAGGTTGGGAAAAAAGAAAAACTATTTTGCTGTTTTTGGTTTGGTGTATTCAGTTGAGAGTTACAGGGTTTTTAAAATGGAAGTGAACAAAGAGAAAGTTCGGTAAATTTTACACCTTTATGGTTCCGATACTGTAACATCCAACTATGTGCAATTTTGGTTTCGCACATGTACGCCGATCGTTGAAAATGTCGATATAAACTATTTACAATTGACCATAATTGGCCAACAGCAGAGGTGTCGTGTTCCACCAGAACAACGCTAGGCCACACACATGTACAGTGACTCGCCAGAGCTTGGTTGGGAAGTTGTAATGCATCCGTCATACAGTCCGGACTTGGCACCAAGCGATTATCAATTGGTATCTAGGGAGGATTGTGAAAATCGACTATTAGTTTTTTTTTTGCAAATAGAGAGCAGGACTTCTATGAGAGAGGCATTATGAAGTTACTTTTAAAATGGCAACAAATCATACAACAAAACGGTGTATATTTGCACATTCCGTAGCATGTAAAAAAAAGTCCTATAGTTCATATAAAACCTTATATAAGCCTCTAAAATTCCGCTTAGCCCCTGGTACTTTCCCATGTCTATTAAAATTCACTATGCTAAGGTGGATTTTTTATACGATACACAACTATGTTGTAAGGGTATCATAGCATGCAACGCCGCGAAATATTGGTCCTAGGCTCGCCTTTTATTACCAATTGTTGCATGACAGTTTGGATGAAGATCGATCAATATTTAGCGAGTCAAATGGACCTATACTTTTGTGTGAAAAATTAAAAAAAAACATTTATTCTGTACAAATCGAACAATCGATTTGATAAAATAAATATCAATATTTCCTGCAAAAATATTCCGGCCTAGGTATATTAAGAAGGTAACCGTATCAAACCAGCTGATGGTACCATTATATGTGATAACAATTTGTTATGGTTGTTGAATAAAGGCTTTAAAAATCGAATAGTTCCTTTAGATTAATACCAATTTTTTGAGTTTTTATTTCAAATATTTAATCAATTTGAAATTTTTTTTATTGTTTTCTACTAATTCTAGCAATTTCTGGTACATTCGGACCATTATTTTCTATATGAACCCTTCAAGCCCCGAATTTTTTTCGCAATCTTAGAACAAATTCCTGTTCACCTAGAACCAAATTATATAAAATTCAGTACCTTTTAGTATACATACGTAGAAATTTCCAATTCAATGGAAAACTTATTACCAAGTTTTAGGATTCCAGCTCTATTGGTTCACTCTAGACCGAAATTTCAATTTTAAGCTCTATATATTTCATTTACAATTTAAGAGTTCTAGCTCTATCGGTTCACCAAATACAAATGGTACTTTTCGTGCCGATTTAGTACGAATTTCCAAAAACTACATCCACAATTTCAAGATACTAGTTTTAGGCGTTTCATCTGGGCGGTGATGAATCGAAAAGTCAGTCAATCATTTACTATTTTATTAGTATAGATAGTATACGTCCGTAGAGGGTATACTAGTCTCGACCCCTGATATTGACCCTTTTTCTTACTGGCTATTGTTCAATCGAATCTGTTTATTAATTTACTTTTTTGCACTCCCCATTCTCGATCAAAAAAAAAGTTCCATGTAGATTCAACAATGTCCGTCTATCTTTTGAAATTGCGATAAAGATCGCAATATTTAAGACGCAGTTTAGAACATTTGAACATACATTGCTACCATTTATATGATGTTTGATAATGAATGTGGCCCAATTTCAGCATTTGGAAGGATTTAGTTGCAGTTGTAATTTGTATTCCGGGAACTTTGAGGGCCATAAACATGACATGTATATGATATTTTCAATATAGGTTATTGTTTTAACATAGTTGCCATATAACGCCACGGATATCGTCTATTGATAACGACTAATAATATAATTAAATGAATCTTAAAATATTGTCTTATTAAATATCTTTTATTTATAGGTAATTTTACTGAAAATACTAATGGGATCACCAAATTCTATTAATATACGCAATGTTGTGTGGCATGGCTTTCCGAAACCTTACGAAATTCCTGATTACTATGAGAAGGTTCTTTTAACACTCATCCATACCATAGGTTGCCAAATCTATGATTATAAATATTCGATTAAAGAACGACCTTTGGTAAAGGATTTTTTCCAACCTCTGCAATACATAGATAATGGAATAAAACAAAAAATTAAGGATATAAACAAATTCAAGGAAAACATTGAACAAATTGATAATGAATTTGCCAAAGAGTATAGCCAGTATTGGTTTAAATTGTGCACATATTATCAAGATGAACAATATATTGAATTCATAATATTAATATTACCACAAATTGAACTGTTACTTAGACTGCATTATGGATACATCAATAATGTGGATATTAATGCGAAATTGGATGAATACTATATTACAATGGACACAGTATTTGAAACCGAAACAATATCTCAAAACAATGACACCGACAAAGATTGCAACTTGAATAAAATATTGGATTTCAATTTATATCCGCAATTTGAAGGCACATTTCACCTGATTTATGACATATTTTTAAGTCCAAATGGTTGTCGTTTAAGAGATAAAGTTAGCCATGGTGAAGTGGATTTGTCGGCTCTAAATAATTCTCAACTGGCTTCTGTGGTACTACATATATTTCTATGTTTATTAAAACCCTTAAATTACACTAATTTAAATGATTACGAAAGCAAATTACATTTAAATGGAATAAATAAAAAACTAATACAAGAATATCACAAAAAACTGCAGATGTTTAAAATCGATATTTTGCAAAATGAAAGCGAAATAACTCTCCAAGAGGCAATCATAACAAATTTGTCGTGCCGAAGAGTTTCAATATTTCAAAGGCCTCACAAAGAATCTGAACTTATGCTGCTCATCAAAATGACATTGGAAAATATCGGTGGCACACTTGATAACTACAGGGAAGCAATTGCAATACGTTCAACACAATTAGCACAACGAGAACTACACTCAAAGAGAAGAAAAACATTGGAGAAATTACAAAATTCCTTACCACAAATTTACAGCACGCTTTCTCAAATGTTCGAATCTTTAAACAAATTATTTAATTTACTGCAAAATGATCATCAAGTGGTATTGAATGAAGGGGATAAATTAGCTAAAACTTTGAGGTAAATATAGAAAAAATAATTTTTATTGCAATTATTTTCCTAATTTCCCTTTTTTCTAGATATCTAAAACATTCGAGGACAATATCGGAAAATTTTGTCAAATATTCACATTACGAAAGCAACGAATGGATTAAATCTTTGGATTTATGTCGCAAATTTGAAGAATTCTATAATAAATTATATTTATATGAACATAGCTGACCAACAAAGAAATGGATTTAATTTTATGAGAATTCCTTGGAACATGTGATTAATTTCAGCTCCAAATGGGTCTAAAACTTCGTTGGACAAAATATCAAAAAGGCTTCATTTTCTGGTATGTATGTTGATCGTCATAGTCACAGTATCCCACAAAAAATACTGTAATTTGCCTTTTTAACTCTTTCAGAGATTTTGTCGAATATATTCGACATTTAAAAGTACTCTCTTTCTTTGCAATTTTTCGGATATCCTATGTACCGTTACTATTGATGTTAAAACGAGGGTAAAAACGACAATTGCTATTTTTTTCTAAACTATGTCCCTTTATATGATTTTAAATACAAAATTTTAGATTTTTATTCCGACAAAATTTTTCTTTGACACTGAAAGGGTTGCGATCCCTATGTTACTTGTCTAAAATTAATCACTGACATTGCTATTACTCCTAGAATATTTGGTATTGCAAATTCGCTATATCGGTCCATGTTTTTGTATAGCTCCCGTTTAACGGTATCCCCAATATTCGGTATTTTGGGAATTTTGGACACATTTATTGGGTACCGAATCTCCACACTAAAATGTATCAATATCGGCCCATCTTTCGGATCGCCCCCACATAAGAATATCCCCAAAGTGTCGGTATTTTGAGGAATTTGGTACGGTTTTCACCCGAAATGGGTGAAATATTGTGTTTTGGAATCCTATTCGATACGAAAACTCTCTACTAAAAATAATCATTATCATCCTCAAATTTTCGGTATTTAGGGGTTATTGATTGCATATTTCAGCCGATTTCGCTGTAATTTTGTATTTTGGATTCTATCAAAAATTATTAATATTCGGCTTCTTTTTGGGAGAGTCCCCATGCAACCCATTTTTATACCCTTCACCACTCTGTGGTACATGGTATTATGTCTCTGTGCATATGTTCGTAACGGCAAAAATAAATGAGATAGACACATGTTTCCTTTTAAAAATATTCATAGAATCACTTTTTGAGTCGATTTATGCATGTCCGTCATGTTAAATTGTGAGTAAAGGTAGCATTTATGATCCGAAATGGATGAAATTTGGCGCAGGGGTCTTATTTGGTCCAAAGACGAACCCTATTGAAATTGAAGAAAATCGGTTCAGATTTAGCTATAGGTTACACATATATTTTAATCCGATTTTATCTAAATAGTACACAAAACTCTCAATATTTGTCCGATTAAGACATTTGCACGGAGTACTGAACTAGGTCCAAATTGATGTATACGAAGTTTTGTTGAAATCGGTTCACATTTAGATATAGCTCCAATACATAGTTTCTTCCGATTTTATGTAAATGGTGTACCAAACTCTCACTTTTTGATTGAGACGCAATTTTGCATAGCGTATTGAGTTGAGTGATGCGTATTAAGCTTTGTAAAAATCGGTCCACTATTGTCCATTGTGATCATCCTTTTTTTACCTGCAAAGAGAATGAGAAGAGAGAGTGGAAGAGCAAGAAAAATATAGTGAGAGAAAGAAAGCGAAGAGATGATTATTTTAGCCATGACCGATTTTTGACAAAGCCTAGGATCTGGTTGGGGTCTATTTTAGAGAAGTCTAGATTCTCAATTTCATATTTTCCAAACTGTTTATGTCTTCTGCCAATCTGCGATTTCCAGAGGATGTGTTCAATTGTTGCTAGTTATTCTTCATCCTCACATAGACGGCAGTAATCCTCTCCGCCGGAGTCCCATTTCGAAGTTAGAGATCTAATCTTGCAGTGACCTGTTATGATCCCCACAATGATTTTGATCTCTCTCTCTTATTATATGCCAGCAGCGTAGAAGTTCTTTGGCGAGAGAATTCATGCCAGATAGCTTTTGAGATTCTGCAACCAGGTTCTCTCGACCATCACCGACTACCTCGCCGTAGAACAAGCGGATTTTGCCAATGAAATAGTCAATGGGTGGTTTCACGGATCTCTCAATCGGAAGATTGGACGATTGTGATCCCCCTCGAGCAAGCTCGGCTATCTCGTTCCCTTCAATATAGGAACCCAACATAAACTAACTATATGTTGTATATCAATTAGTGCGGACTTGCTTCGAGGAGATTCAATACTAAAATGTTCTGTTCCAAAATGAGTTATATGGGTTCTCATTTAGGCATCACACCTCATAATGATATCTTCTTCTTTTTTTTGGTATGCTCACATAAATAGTAGTATTTTGAGGATTACAGACGCACAAGTTGGTGTTGTTAAAAAATCTCCGTTAAAATTTGCTGAAACGTAATTTCGCGTGCATAGTGATTTACACTTCAGTATAATCCCGCCCCTTATATATTACAGTATTAGACCCGAAAGTGTAATACAGTTTCTTGTGGGAGAGAAACTTAATTGCAAATGAATGCCAAGTTAGGAAATTTTCCATCAAACATTCTGGTCTCCAGTAGAGTCTATGATATAACTGAAAAACATTGTTGCATAGGTTCATTCATTGTTCATGTTCCCAATCCTATGACTCCGCCCAATTCTGATTACATCGGAGTTTTTTTGCCATGTGGAGTTGGAACTTTCATGTCATGTTCGGGCCGACCGAAGTTAAGGCCTTTTTCCCTTGTTACTTTTTGGATATGACCGAATGTCCTGCCGACTACAGTTTCGGACTGTTAACTCCGAATTTACTCCCCTTGAGGCTTTTAAAGACACTATCAGTTTAATGATAGTAAAGGTTTAACCACTTCATTTTTAAGGAATTTTAACACTGAGTTGTAGATGGCACTAGTGCTTCAGCGTAGACTACATCCATGTTTCGGAGAATATGTAATAAGAAAAGTAGTTCTAATTTTAAACGCTAGAAGCTGAATAATCCATTAATAAATTAATTAAAAATATCTTAACAAGGAATTTGAGAGTGGAAGCAATAAGAGAAACACGTTGCGTTGAACGCAAACAAGCGATTCGTAATTTTTATGCCCTTCACAATATTGTGAAGTTTATGTAAAATTCGGCATTTTTTTATCAAAATAAAAATTAGTGTTTTTAAAAGACGATATTTAAGATAGAGCTTTAAAATTTTACACCTACATTGTTATTATTCGTAGAAAACATATCGCTCCATGTTTTATTGTAGCCCCCATAGATCAAGGTTTAAGTCACGTTCCCAAACCTGGGTTCTGCAAAGAGAATGAGAAGAGAGAGTGGAAGAGCAAGAAAAATATAGTGAGAGAAAGAGAGCGAAGAGATGATTTTTTAGCCATGACCGATTTTTGACAAAGCCTAGGATCTGGTTGGGGTCTATTTTAGAGAAGTCTAGATTATCAATTTCATATCTTCCAAACTTTTTATGTCTTCTGCCAATCAGCGATTTCCAGAGGATGTGTTCAATTGTTGCTAGTTATTCTTCATCCTCACATAGACGACAGTAATCCTCTCCGCCGGAGTCCCATTTCTAAGTTCGAGATCTAATCTTGCAGTGACCTGATATGATCCCCACAATGATTTTGATCTCTCTCTCTCTCTCTTATTATATGCCAGCAGCGTAGAAGTTCTTTGGCGAGAGAATTCATGCCAGATAGCTTTTGAGATTCTGCAACCAAGTTCTCTCGACCATCACCGACTACCTCGCCGTAGAACAAGCGGATTTTGCCAATGAAATAGCCAATGGGTGGTTTCACGGATCTCTCAATCGGAAGATTGGACGATTGTGATCCCCCTCGAGCAAGCTCGGCTATCTCGTTCCATTCAATATAGGAACCCAACATAAGCTAACTATATGTTGTATATCAATTGCTTCGAGGAGATTCAATACTAAAATGTTCTGTTCCAAAATGAGTTATATGGGTTCTCATTTAGGCATCACACCTTATAATGATACCTTCTTCTTTTTTTGGTATGCTCACATAAATAGTAGTATTTTGAGGATTACAGACGCACAAGTTTTGGTGTTGTTAAAAAATCTCCGTTAAAATTTGCTGAAACGTAATTTCGCGTGCATAGTGATTTACACTTCAGTATAATCCCGCCCCTTATATATTACAGTATTAGACCCGAAAGTGTAATACAGTTTCTTGTGGGAGAGAAACTTAATTGCAAATGAATGCCAAGTTAGGAAATTTTCCATCAAACATTCTGGTCTCCAGTAGAGTCTATGATATCACTGGAAAATATTGTTACATAGGTTCATCCCTGTTTATGTTTCCTATGTTATGATTCCGCCTAGTTTTGATTACATCGGAGTTTTTTGTCATGTGGGTTTGGAACTTTCATGTCAAGTCCGGGCCGACCGAACTTAACGCCTTTTCCCTTGTTACTTGTCGGATGTCATATCGGCAGACGTCCTGCCGAATACAATTTCGGAATATTAACTCCGAAATGTACCCCTTGCGACTTTTACAAAAACTACCAGTAACGACCCAAACCACTTTTATAATGAATTTTAACATTCAGTTGTAGATGGCACTAGTGCTTCAGTAAAGACTACATCTATGTTCAGGAGAATATGTAATCAGAAAATAAAATATATCTAAACAAGTAATTTGAAAGTCGTGGTGGAGTTTATGTGAAATTCGGCATTTTTAATCAACATAAAAATCAGTATTCTTAAAATATTTAAGATAGAGCCTTGAAATTTTACACCTACATTGTTATTATTCGTAGAGAACATATCGATCCGTGTTTTATTGTAGCCCCCATATATGAAGGTTTCAGTCACGTTTCCAAACCTGGGTGCTTGGAGTGTCAAAATATCATTGTAGGATATGTTCAATATAAGTTCGTGTTTTGAAATAGTCTCAATATATAGTAAATACCTTCCCATTTTCGGCGTTTTGAAGTTATTATTCGAAGATAGAAACTTTTTTTGTTGAAGAAAAGAATATGGATTTGCTTTAACATTTCGGATTTTTCTAGTTGTTTTTTGGACTAGCCCTCAATGAGGATAGATAGGAAGTTAAGGATATATTCGCCCGCAGATTTCTTCAACGTCAGCTCTACTAACAGACAATATTTTACGTTCCGGCTGAAC